AATAATAGAATCACTTCTATATTACTTTGCAATATCTCAGAATAAAAATATAATGTCATCAGCAGGGAGATTTACATGCCAGTATGTCTCATGAACATACACATGCAAGATTCCTAAGAACATCTGAACACATTCCATCTGGCCATGTCCGATATAGATCTTACATCATGACAGAGGGAGCTTTACTTGAGGAGCGCAAGAAAAGCTCACCATTAGGAAACCTTAACGTGAGCCAAGATATTAACTGAGTAGATGCCACAAGTAGAATACGTCCCCACGCCATCTCCAGTTCTCAGCCTGCTGACTCCGGTCCTCATTCTCCCCGAGGCTGGCTCTGATGTGTGTGTCCGAGTGCTTCCTCGTGCCTTTGGCCCGTCCTGCACGTATGGGCAGGGCTGCTGTTGCAGGTCAGGTGAGTCTTTTCATTGGTCCTGGGGGCTGAGGCGGGAGCCTGTGGGGAGTTTCTGCTCATCTTTCAGGAGAGCTGGGAGGGTTGTGGATTCCGTGGCTTCTACTGAAACGCGCTCCCGGGAGCCCATCATCTGGGGCTGGGTGACGAGGAACCGAGTCATCCAAAGAGTGAACCAAACAAGACCAGCGGGCAAGCCCAGATCAGAGAGCTTAGCCTCTTGGGTTTAAGGATCTCTAGCATCTTCATGGGTCTGGCAGGCCTCCCCGTGCCCGCTCTGTCCACTCACAGCTGTGAGTTCTGTTTCCTGCTCCATGAATTATCCTTATTTGAAACGGCACACGTGGCTGTCACTACTTTTCATTCAGGGACATCGTGACTGTCCCTTTCACGGTATTTCCCCCTGGAGCTCTTCCCAGGAAACTGTCCTGCCGTCTTGGTTGTTTGTCCCGCACGGACAGCAACAAGGACACAGAGTCACAGCCACTGGCCCACTTTCCACACCCATCCCCCCTTCCGCTCACTCAGCATAGTTCATACATATATACATATATATGTATAGTTCATATATATATGCACACACACACACACGTACAAATATGTTTTAATTGACTTCAGAGTGGAAGGGAGAGAGAGACCTAGAAACATCCATGATGAGAGAGAATCATTGACCACCTGCCTCCTGCACCCCCCACACTGGGGATCAAGCCTGCAACCCGGGCCTGTGCCCTGACGGGGAATTGAACTGTGACCTCCTAGTTCATAGGTCAACGCTGGGAGCAGTGCTAGTTTTGATTTAGAATCTTAATCTGTTAATTCCTAGTTTAGCTGGATCTGAAAACAGCAGACGAGTAAACCATGTTCCAATTCCCTGTCACTGACGTGGTAGGATGGATTGTAAAGACTTGGGCTTGTTGATGAAACATGAGAACACATGTGCTCAGAGACGAGGGAGACCTGCCCTTGTGTCAATGTGGTCACAGTAGCTTAGCTTTGCGATGACCTGGTCAGAGAGGTAAGAGCCCCTGACCCCACTGGACAGCGACAGGGGTGGCAGAGGGGCTTCCGGCCGCGAGCACGTGAGACGCAGCTTCCTCCCGCACCATCACTGACTTCTCAGGGCGTCACTCATCCTCATCATCACTAACCTCCTGGGCCCACCCCAGATTCTACTCAGCTGGACAGAACCCAACAGCACTCTTCTATGTTTTAATAGTTAATAGCATTTCTCCAAAATGTGAGGAAAGGCCCCAAAGAAGAAGAAGAACCATGATAACGACCTGGGTACGTGTTTGACGCGCCTCCTGTGAGGTGGGGTGACCGTAGCATGAGAAGGTGAAGGGACTTCGGGCCCCACCCGGCCTCGGACGCCTGCCTGGTGGGGGAACGGAGGGGTGTCCTGGCACCGCCTGGCGAGGGAATGGCCTCACTTGCCATCGCCCGTCTGCAGCTGGACTCAGGAGACTAAACACTCAGAGGGCCACCTCTCCTGCTCTTAGATCACGGCCCTGTCAAAGGCAACGCGTCCTGAAGAAAGGAGACGACCCCAAGTAACTAATAAAGGGGGGAGGTAGGAAAATACGTCTGAACCGGAACAAACACTCACAGAAGGAGGAGGCATGGAAGTCGGATGTCACATGACAATGTTCTATTCACAGACGGACACCATTTCAAAGCGAAAAAATACCAAACCGGGCACCCGGGCAACTATTTTCATGTTGTGAATCTGACCACACACCAGCACCCACACGCACAGAGAGCGTCCAGTCAACAACAACAATACTGATTAACAAGCCGGGTGAGCCCGGACAGCACAGTGGGCAGAACAGGCACTCCAAAAAGGAGAACATCATAGGCTCTGCGTCAACCTATGAACCAGGAGGTCACAGTTCGATCCCCAGGGCACAGGCCCAGGTTACGGGCTCCATCCCCAGTGGGGGGCGTGCAGGAGGCAGCTGATCCATGACTCTCTCTTATCATTGATGTCCCTCTCTCTCCCTCTCCCTTCCTCTCTGAAATCAGTAAATATCAGTTAAGGGGACTGTAAACATTGGGAAAGGTGCCCAATGCCACTGCCCAACCAGATCAACCCCATAGTCAGATGTCAGGACTGCCCGCAAGGGGACCGGGTCTGAGCGTGGCCGTGGGGGAGCATGGGGAGCCGCCACAGCCTCCGGGCTGCAGTGAGCAGGGGGCTGGACACTGCGTGGCGGGACCTGCTGAGGCTATAGCTACAACTCAAGCCCTAGGAATCATGTACGACCACGAGAGCGGATATCCAGGTAAACAGAAAGGTCAGTATCGATAGGTACACATCAGCTTTATTCCGACATGTTAGCCAGAAAACAGAAAGAAAAAAAGGGAAGAAGAAATAAAGAAGAGAAACTGCCCCAAATCAAGTTTGAGTGGAGCAGCCTCTTTCGCGGATGGAAACAACGACACGGGTGCTCCGTGCCGCACGGGGAGCGCCTCCCCAGGCCGCGGCGTGCAGTGGGGACAGCGTGCTGGGTGCACAGGATCCCTGCGTGTGACAGTCAGAACAGGGACCCTCCGAGGGAGCCACACTGGCTGGCGGCGTCAGGAGAAAAATGTGGGCGATCGGAGGGGGATGGCTCAAGGGCTCTGTGGACTCTTGCGCTTGAGATTTAGGCGTTTTACAATATGCGCCGAACAACAAATACATGAAACCATGGGGCATGGGCTCCATTTTCCTAAAGTTCCACCTTGACACTCTCAGAGCATCCGGTCGTCATGGCTACGAGACCATCCTGCAGGAGGACCTGGGGATGCGCTCATCCACTGGGCAGTGACTGACTGAGCGGTGGCTGTGAGTGGTCACCAGGGGGGACAGTCAGCAAGTCCCTCTGGGGAACCACCTCCCATCATCTCTTAGAAACACAACAGAAGGTGGACAGCGTGTGCAAGGTCATCAAAGGTGAACACGAACTGATCCGCTAGTTCAAGTTGGGAGACTGTCTTCAGGGCTCACCAGGGGAGGGGCGGCCGGGGTGGGGCTAGCCTGGTGGAAGCCGAAGGGATTTTTGTCTCAAAGTACTTTTCCCCACCTTACCTTTTTACATTATACACACCTGGTGTTTACTTTATTATTATTATTATTATTATTATTATATCCTCCCCCGAGGAAATTTTCCCATTGATTGTAGAGAGAGTGGGAGAGAAGGGAAAAACAGAGAGAAGCATCGATGTGAGAGAGAGACATCGATGGGCTGCCTCCTGCAGATGCCCCAACCAGGGCCTGGGCTGGGGAGGAGCCTGCAACTGAGGTACGTGCCCTTGAGCAGCATCGAACCCGGGACCTTTTGGTCCGCAGGCCGATGCTCTATCCAAATCGGCTAGGGTGACACATACATGTTTTTATTATGCTGAAAATATTTTCAGTGTTAACAGCCTCTTACTAAATTTTCCAGGTTCTTTGGAGATGACATAGAATTCACTATCAAAGATCTTAATGAATATTTAATGTTTTATTAGAGACTAGTTAGCTATTTTTTTAAAGGATAAAAATGAACACACAACTGGTAAAGAGAATACAAAACTGAAAAATACTGTGGTAAAAGGGAAGGCATATATGAGAGTATTTAAGTAAGGATTGCACAGGAATGCATGGGGGCCCAAGAGAAATCGTCTATATTTCACAGTTTAACCTGGTCCCAGACCCTGTGGCACTGGGAGGAGCTGAGTGACAGGTGGGAGTGACGCTGGAGAATAGATTAAATAAGGGGGCAGGTGTATAGGTTTGAGGGGTAGGGACTGGGGTCTGGAACGACAGGCAGGCGGCTGGGAACGTGGTTCTGGTAGCGCTGGGAGCAGGAGACATGCCAGAGAGTCGGGATAGGACAGGGGTCTTTGAACAGATGGTTGGCTACTGTGATTCGCCTCCCGGGAATGAACAATATTTCCCCGTGTTACTGATCCAAATGCCTTTTATTTTCCAAACTGGTATGCAAAGCAGAAAAGAGAATATGGTTTCTCTGAGAGCCAAGGTCATGAAATGACAGAGGGAGGACGGCTCCGTTTGGACCCTTCTGTCGAAGGCCCATGCGGTGCCCACAGCGCAGGGGCGGGATCCAGGCGTTCAGAGGTGTCCTTAGCTAGGACCAGCGACCGCACCCGGAGGCACGGGATGCCTTTGAAAGCTCAGGGTTATTCTAGGCCTGATCGGACCAAGTTCTTCTAACCGTCAGCGAAGCACAATAATCCCGGGCGAGCGTGTGATGAAGCAACACTGAATTCTGAACACGTCGCCATCCTGTTACGCAACGTGCTCCCTCTGAGGGTTTGTGCTCAGTCTGGTATGACCCGGCTTTGAAGATGCAGCAATTTCTTCTCATAAAAGAGACGCAAGGCGTGTAAGGGACACCCTGACTTGGCAACAAGGCAGGCGAGACACTTTGATGAGCACGCGGCCCCTTCAGAGGTTGGCGTGGTCAACGAGGGGTGACACGGATGACACAAAACAGGTGGCATGTGACTCAGCACCTGCTGGCCCAGGTATATAAGCTCCCTCCCCACTCGCTGACATTCACTCTCAGGACCCCATCTTGAACAGAAACACACGCCCCCTGACACCATGAGCTACTACGGCAGCTACTACGGAGGCCGCGGCTACGGCTGGGGCGGCTTCGGCGGCCTGGGCTGTGGCTATGGCTTTGGCACAAAAGCCTTTAGCTCCTCAGGATTATGGGTAGATTTTCAACTGTGCCTGCGTCTCCCTCATAGACCAGGATCCTCTACGTTTGCTTTCATAACTGATTGGACTGTCTGTTCACCTTCCAATAAAGCATTGAACTTGAAAATAAAGTCTGGTTGTTGGTTTGTTCATGAAACGCAATTATGAGGAAGTGGCTCTGGGCACATCCACTCCGCTGTCCACGGGAGAAGCCATCTTCTTGGCCAACAATCTTTCCTTTCCTTTCACTCACCTCACAAGCATGCAGAGGGGCAGGAAATAGATATAAAGATTAATAAGCCTACACTGAAATGAAATTTTTTTTTGAAAATCCAGTGATTTAAATCTTTAAATCTGTTATTTAATTCATAAACATTCAGACTTAAGTCAACAACAAATAGCAATGAATATTGAACATATCTACCCATTTATTTATCAACATATGGATTTTACTTAACTAACATTTCCCAATTCAACCTTTCAGTTTATTCAAAATTGCTTTATGTTTTTAATTTTTCTTTTAATTTCAGAGAGCAAGGAGGAGGGAGAGGGAGATAGAAGCATCATGGATGAGAGAGAATCATTCACTGATTGGTTGCCTCCTGCATGCCCCCCTCTGGTGATTGAGCCCTCAACCTGGGCATGAGCCCTTGGCCAGCATCAAACTCAGGACCATTCAGTCCAAGACTGATCTTCTATCCACTGAGCCAAACAGGCAAAGGGAAACTCAAAACATATTTAACTAAACGTGTCTGTTCCCCTTCCTCTGCTCTCACTGTGTCTCACTTCACCCTTCACCACCTTCACCACATTGAGGATGTATCCTCAGTCCAATCAGGGAAAGAAACCACAGACATAATCGTGAACCAATTATTACTGAGCTGAAGCTGAAACCAAAGAGCTTTCTTATAAATCTAAATTTCAGTAAAATCTGAATTTCTCCTGATAAAAATGGGACAACAGGGGGCATATATTTTTCATGAAATTAAAAAACAACAATGGTTGGACTAAAACAGTGGTCGCCAAACTTCCGGACCTCACCGACCAAAGTGGTCCATGAACCACCAGTTGGCGACCACTGGACTGAAATACCAATGATTTCCTAGAATCCAATAATATAGTCAGAGAATATTATAAAATGAAGATATTTTTTAAAATTGGTATAACCTGGTCCAATAAGTGTGCTTGAGTCTATGCTGTGAGATACGCCCTATAGCTGTGCAGGCAGAATTTAATCTTTCAGTCACTCAGCAAATATGTTTTGTTTGAAAATGAATTTATACATTCAGATGGGAGGGAAACATATTATCAAAAATGTTATAAATGCTTGGCTTGCATGCCTCAGTGGGTGAGCATCAACCTATGAAACAAGAGGTCACGGTTCAGTTTGATTCCTGGTCAGGGCACACGCCTGCTTGCAGGCTCGATCCCCAGTGTGGGGTGTGCATGAGGCAGCCAATCAATGATTGTTCTCTCATTATAAATGTTTCCATCTCTCTCCCAATCTCCCTTCCTCTATGAAATCAATAAAAGCAAATAAATAAAAAAATAACATAAGGAAAAACGCAGGCTGAAAGAACAAATGTGAGTGGAGGGATGAAGTACTGATGGGAAAACTGGATCGGAGTGGAAGCCCTGGCTGGTGTGAGCGTGTGTGGGACTGAGCGGGGAATGACGACTGAAAGAGCGGCTGGAAGAGACAGAGGATGTGTGGGAACCGGGAAGAATAGGGAGAGAAAATAAAGAGCAACTGCAAAGCAGAAGACACCGTCACCTATGTTTCTAGATAATCCGTTTCTATTTGAAAAAGAGGGTGATGTTTAAAGAGAAGTTTGTGACCAGGTGCTCAGCCTGGGGACATACGTGTGAGATTGTTCTGTGGGCAGATCCTCAGCTTCTGAAATGCATTTCACTGTGTGGAGAAACCAAAAGGGTATTTCACAAGAGGATACATCACACTAAATAATTTACGTGCGTGTGTGTGTGTGTTTTCTACTTGAGAAGTAAATTCGACACAGAACTGGACACAGTAAAGAATGTGAAACTTGATTGGTGGATGTGACCCAGATGGGGTCAGACACAATCATCCAAAGAACGGCATGCAGGTGAGAAATGACAACACCCTCAGAGAGAGGACAGCGC